CCTGTGATACTTGCTCAAACACGAAACATTCGCTGCCTAACCGAAGTCAAAAGTAAACAGCAAACAGTGCACAAAGCAAAGAGAGGCCTCCTATTATACTTTAACCGTCTGTTTTATCTTCTCTTGCGAAATAACAATTCTCCTACAGAAATGATTCGAAAGGTTTCCTGTCTAACGACCAAGTCCCCTGGCGCCGTTTACCAGGGCGGAAAGATACCAGATAAAAATGATCTAATTAACAAAGCACGAAAAACAGAAAAGAAAGAAGAAGAAGAAGAAGAGCTACAACAAATCTACGAGTAAATCGTACACGCGGGACGTGACGGTTCTATACACGCGTTTGCGGGACCAATAAAGTAATAAAGGGGTAATAAAATCCGTCTAAAAGTAATGGAAAACAGAGGTCTCTATCTAACAGCAGGATACAGGTCGAAAGAAAGAACACTAATGTATCGAGGATGCGAAAAGCCACGGTGGGCAAAAATCGAGCTAGAGGGCTGGTATTACTGCTGGCCGTAGTGTTCCCCTCACGGGGGTCGGTTCGGCGAGAGAGCGAGGTGCAGAGCGCGAGGCGGCGAGGTCGGTTTTGCGTCGGCGCGATTCCGGAGCTCGCAACGTTGCCGGCTTTACAAGCCCGTCGGCTACCACGAGGAGAAGCCAGACCAGACTCGACCGAGCGGATCTCTCACAGTCAGTTTTTGCCTCTGATACGCGACGGGCGACGCTGGTTGTGTCGCGATGCACGAGTGTCATGTGACACGCGAAACAACACAGTAGTTACCCACCTTTTCTGTCGCTGGGCTGTGCTGGTTGTTGCTACCGCTGTTTGCTACTGCACCTTTGTGCAACATACAGAAAGATCTATAGGAGAGCGAGGGAGGGAGAGAGAAAGAGAGAGAGAGCGATATAACGGCGACATATCCAGGGAGAGTTAGAGAGAGAGAAGAAAGAAAGAAAGAGAGAGAAAACACAGGGTGTGCGTGTGTGTATGTGTGTGCGTGCGTGAGGTGTGTGTGTGGAGCTGCTCGTTTGTATGTGTTGCTATCCACTTATACGCATACTTGCGCGCGCGCGAGTGATTCTATATAATAACCGTAGTGGTCGTGTGCGGTGGCCGTTGTTGAATGCTGGCGGATTCCCTTCCCGTCCAATTTCGGAACTCTCCGTAAAGTCGTTCCATCAGAGCGCGCACAATTATGTTACCGGCTCGACACGGCAATACCACCAGCAACACCACTGCCGCCATTGTCAACAAACCCAACAGCAACTTCGCCACGTCCATAAGACACTGGGCTGGATTTTTTGCGAACGGTTAAACAATCTGCCGGTTTTATAGCCCGCCCAAGCAAGGGGCTATATCCACCAACACGGTGCCTCTCTCGCACGGCTTGGCTCGTGATCTACTCGATCGGTAGGTACATAACACACGTTCACACAGAGAAAATATAGTCATGAAACGATAATAAAAAAAAAAAAAAGTAAAGAAGATAAAGGAATAAAAAATAACATTCAAGAATAATTAAGTAACAGCTAAAAAGATATTAAACGCGGCGAAACACGTGTGCGTGTGGTGTACGTTCTCTGTGTATCGAAGAATTCTCAAGCAAACGACAATATATACACACGGTTTTACATTAGCGTACGCATTTTTCTATTGCGAAGCTATATAATAAAAACTAAACGATAACTGAAAAGTAAAGTGTTCTCGTTATATCTCGTTACTAGAGAATAACAAAAGAAGGTGTTTAATACAGAATATCACGAGGGAAGAGTCGAGTAAATTTTTGTTGGATTTCACACGAAGACCCACCATCAGGACATGGGAATTCTTGGTTGTATGCGTGGAAATCGTCATATTACAGGTCATAGGAATGAGGAAGCGGGTATTCACGTGGGACTCGTGGTGGTGGTTAACAGTTCTACTCATTGCGGTGCACGTTACGGATACAAAGGATCTCCCGTCGCCAGGATCGTCGACATGGCTGATAGGGAAAACGTCGCCAAGCTGGCGTGTCGAATGTGCCACGGGTTGCGAGTGTCTGGAGAATGGGAAAAGTCTACTGTGTCGGGAGCGAAATTTCCTAGGACTCGGTTTGCCGAGACAGGCTGTAAACGTCGTATTGAAAGATGTCAGAGCCGCTACCGTGCCCGTTTCCGCCCTCGAGACCGCTGCACATCTGAGAAGTCTCGCGTGGACGTCGAGCGGGATAGAGCGCGTCGAATCAGGTGTGTTTCACACGACAACGTTCCTTCAACATTTGAACTTAGGTGACAATAGGCTGACGGAATTGCCGTCGGACGTCTTCCATCCGTTGCACCAACTACAGTACCTGAATCTTACCAGAAATCGGTTGCACATACTCCCGCGAGCGTTGTTTCAAGACTTGGACAAACTCGAGGAGATCCGTTTGTCGCAGAATCGACTGTCGGTACTTCCGTACCAAGCGTTCGCCACGTCCAAGTCGTTGACACGTTTGGATCTGTCCGGTAACCTGCTGGTATCGTTGCCGGATCACAGTTTCAAGCCGAACAAACATCTTCAAGAGCTCGATCTATCTGGTAACAGGCTCACGAAACTTCCATCCCGTTTATTCTCCGGTCTGACACAGCTGAAGTTACTTCAGCTCTCCGACAACGAGATCGACACAATTCCACGCGGTCTTTTCGCCGATCTATCGTCGTTACAGGAACTAGATCTATCCACCAATCCTATCACACGTCTCTCCAGCATCACGTTCCAAAGTTTGTCGAATCTACGATGGCTCAGTCTGAAGAATCTACCGGTCACCGTGCTGCCGCAAGATGTATGGCGACCGGTAAAAAAGCTACGCACTCTGTTGCTCTCCGGGACGAGGATAGAGGTGCTGCGCAACGAAGATTTGAAGGGGTTGGATCAACTAGAGACATTGGAGATGAACAACAGCCCTTTGCGCGAGATATCGCGTTGCACGTTGGATCGTACACCGGCCCTTCGTAAGATCGATCTACACGACAGCAATCTGACCTTCCTTCCGGCGAACGTGGCGCAGCTGTCGTTTCTGAACGAGCTGCAGCTGCAAGGGAACCCGTGGGCCTGCGATTGTCGTATGTTCTGGTTCGTGAAATGGGCGGAGAGCAAGGAACACCTTCGTACAGCGTTCCAAAGTGGGTTCAGATGCGGCGACGAGATCGACGGTTCCGCCGATATCCTTCAAACGCTGCGTTACTTGAAATGTGCACCGCCGAATCTGTCGTACGCAACGCCCACACAGCAGTATCTGTTGTTAAACTCGGTGCTACTCGAATGTGAATTCAACGGCAATCCTACGCCATCGTTAGCATGGGTTACACCGAGACTTCAGGTACTGCACTGGAATCCCGATCCAGCTTTTCCCGACGCTTTTGTCGAACATCCTCCCGTACATGGATGGGAACAAAGTGTGCCGTTCGTTGATGATGGTCGCGTACGCATCCTCGAGAATGGATCTTTGTACATCACGACGTTGCTCAGGCAGGATGTTGGACAATACAAGTGTTTCGCTGTCAATCCGATTGCCAATGCCACTACCTATATTAGTTTGCAGATGAATCCGATAACATTGCACAAAATCAGGATTATGAGCATCCTGGTTGGCGCTGCCAGCGCGACGGCCTTTCTTCTTTTAACGCTACTCGTGCAATTGCTGCGTTACGCATTGGACAAGTGAGTATTTTTCTTTTTCTCCATTTCGTTTTCTTTCCATCAACTTTATGATTAATTTCCAAATGTTACACTCGTTCGAATATAAATTCCCCCCCTTTCTCTCTGCCTTTGCCGCGCCTGTAGTTAAAAGCTTTATTAGCACAGGTCAATACTTTGTTTTCCCCCCTGCTTCTCGTTTGTTCCGCGCGCGTTGCGTAAACTTCCTCCTCCACCCCGTTGAAATAGATATTGTTCCTGATGAACCACGCGATTTCCGTTTACCACCACACGCACATACATGCATGCATACATATATATGTATATACACGTACCCATGCATATAAACATGGTTTGTTCTCGTTCGTTTCAGGAGCGGCTGTCTGAATTGGTGTTTCTGCTGCAGGCGGGTCGGTTCTACACCTAGAGCGAAGCAAATCTACCAGATGCTGGATAATATCGAGCAATACAAGAGTCAACAACTTGAGAGACTGCGCGAGAATTACACTCAACAAGTGCATAGAATAAAAGAGAACTGCGCCCAGCAGGTAGAATGGATACGAGACAGTTACGAGGGCCAAATGAGGCACATCAGAGACATAAGGGACTATGGAACGAGTCATCTCACAGCGCTCAGAGATCAGTATTACGATCAGGTATACGAAAGAACAGCTTCGGAAAATATCGTTGCTTAATCATCGACAGAATATAGATACTACGATAGAATGTCTTTTTTCCTTCAACGTCTGATTAATATACCGTGTGTCACAGACGATTTGTTGTTTGCAAACAATGTGTCGTCGTCGTCGTCGTTGTACATGATTTCTCGTTATTTCTCCTCTTTCAAATACAAAAGCTGTAACTTTCACACACACACGGAGAAAAGAAGAAGGCACACCCCCACCATTTTTTTCTCTTACGACGAATCTTTCACAAGAGTATTTTTTCTGCTTTCTAAACAGGTGAGAAAAGTAAGAGATTACTCGACCAGTCAGCTGAATTGGGTGCGAGAGAACTATGTCTTCCAGCGTAACAAGATAAGAAAGTTCAGCGCCCATCAGGTGTTGCGGCTGCGTGAGAGTTACAAGTATCAACAGCAAACGTTGAACAAAGTATTGGAGAATTTGCCGAATTTTTACTTCGACAACTGCCGAAGCGGCTCGTGCGGGAAAAGCGACTCGATGGTGTTCAATCCGAAGGACGACGGATCGATCCGCGTCGACGCTTACTTCAAAGCGAAAATCAACGATCTGGCGAACGGTGGTAGCATGGAGGATCTGAACAGCGAGTATTACACACCAACGGAACTCTCGTCGGCAAGTCCGCACGGTATAAACGTGTTGGAGGGAATCCATATAAATTATATCGAGGAAACAAGCCCACCGGTTCGACTGGATCCATTGTGCAATGGAGCACTACCGTGTCCAATAATACTGCACAGTATCGAGGAGGATGGGAGCTCGTCTTCGGTGTACAAAGATGCAGACCACGTGAAGTCAGTTTTCAGAGACTTCAGCAGCGAAGTCTTAGCCAAAGAGCCTAAACAGACGCCAGAAAGTCTTGGTCTCCTTGCACCCAGTACCAGTATGCCCGACTTACCGCGCGAAACCAAACTCTAGACGCCTTTAAAAAATAGACAGACACACACACACACACACACACACACACACACACTGTGACACGTAAAGTGTTGTGCAAAACAGAAAGAAAAATATGAAGAAAACAGGTACTAACCTCTCTTTATAACAGCAGGATTACAATTAAGACGAGAATGTACTGCCACTGGATCATTATGTGAGAAAAAAAAATATAATAGAAGTGCCTCTACACCCGGTAAGTGGGAGATTGCATACGCGACAAGGATGGAACACGGTGGTACACCTTTCTCTCTATCGTGGGACTTCTTGAGAAACAGAAACGTTTCTTCTTTTCCCCTGGTATCTTCTCTTTCCTCTCTAACTGCTCGATAAGAGAATAACGGAATATACACCTCTCTGAGACGGATGAAACAGAAAAGAAGGAGAAGAGAAGCCTATAACAAAGTACGGAGGAAGGGACAACACAGAACAGAACAGAAAACATGCCTCTATGAATGGTATATAACATTTGATTGAACATGTAGGATTGTGTGTGCGTGAGTGTTGAACAGTTTGAGGAGAACAAAAAAAATTCGCGGACAGCTTCCAAGGACTATTTTCCCGTGATTAATTCGGTCGACGACCTTGCAACCTGTCCGCCCCTTCTTTACACACTTTGTGCTTTTTATCATTGTTGTTTATCATCGTCAGCCATTTGGTATCAACGATAACAATCGATGGTTTTTTAGAGGAG